ATTGGGTTTCAGGTTCCTTCTAAATTCTACGTTAACTCTATACTTCTAACGTCTCCTCGTAAACTCTGAAATTTATGATATTATTGGGTTTCAAGTTCCTTCTAAATTCTACTTCAACTCTATACTTCTAACGCCTCCACCTAAACTCTGAAATTTATAATATTATTGGGTTTCAGGTTCCTTCCAAATTCTACTTCAACTCTATACTTCTAACGCCTCCACCTAAACTCTTAAATTTATAATATTATTGGGTTTCCGGTTCCTTCTAAATTCTACATCAACTCTATACTTCTAACGTCTCATCCTAAACTCTGAAATTTATGATATTATGGGTTTTCAGTTTCCTTCTAAATTCTACTTCAACTCTATACTTCTAACGTCTCCTCCTAAACTCTGAAATTTATGATATTATTGGGTTTCAGGTTCCTTCTAAATTCTACATCAACTCTATACTTCTAACGTCTCATCCTAAACTCTGAAATTTATCATATTATTGGGTTTCAGTTTCCTTCTAAATTCTACTTCAACTCTATACTTCTAACGTCTCCTCCTAAACTCTGAAATTTATGATATTATTGGGTTTCAGGTTCCTTCTAAATTCTACTTCAACTCTATACTTCTAACGTCTTCTCCTAAACTCTGAAATTTATAATATTATTGGGTTTAAGGTTCCTTCTAAAACACTACTTCAACTCTATACTTGTAACGTCTCCGCCTAAATTCTGAAATGTTATTTATTTATCTTCTTCCTTCAGTAGGACTATATATATATATATATATATATATATATGTATATATATATATATATATACACACACACACACACACACACACATATATATATATATATATATATATATATATATATATATATATATATATATATATTAGATAGAAATAGAGTTTTATCAACTGTTCCATGTTTAATCTCGGTTCATGGTTCCTTCTACTTCAACTCTATACTTCTAACGTCTCCTCCTAAACTCTGAAATTTATGATATTATTGGGTTTCAAGTTCCTTCTAAATTCTACTTCAACTCTATACTTCTAACGCCTCCACCTAAACTCTGAAATTTATAATATTATTCGGTTTCGGTTCCTTCTAAATTCTACTTCAACTCTATACTTCTAACGTCTCCTCCTAAACTCTGAAAATGATATTATTGGGTTTCGGTTCCTTCTAAATTCTATATTACTTCTAACGTCTCCTTTGGATATTTTGGGTTTCTGGTTCCTTCTAAATTTACTTCAACTCTATACTTCTAACGTCTCCTCCTAAACTCTGAAATTTATGATATTATTGGGTTTCGGTTCCTTCTAAGTTCTACATCAACTCTATACTTCTAACGTCTCCTCCTAAACTCTGAAATTTATAATATTATTGGGTTTTCAGGTTCCTTCTAAATTCTACTTCAACTCTATACTTCTAACGTCTCCTCCTAAACTCTGAAATTTATGATATTATTGGGTTTCAGGTTCCTTCTAAATTCTACTTCAACTCTATACTTCTAACGCCTCCACCTAAAATTCTGAACTTTTATTTACTACTTATCAAGCTATTTCTTTCTTCCATAGGACAAAATACGTTCACCTATCATCCGCTTCTTATTGTTTGGTCTTTTGAATAGTAGTAGCGGTTTATCTCTTGTTTAAGCTTTAGGATTGGTTTTTCGAGTCCTTCTACAGTTCTTTCGTTCTCTTTCAAATCTTGTGGCCTCTTGCGTTTTAATGCAATTATCACCTTACTTGAAACAGTGCATCTTGATCTGTAGCCCTCTACTTTGAGTGGTTATTGGGCCTGATACAATGTGAACATTATTATAGGACATCAATTCATGATGAAATGTTGTACATATCCCAAACGGCTCCATGTGTGATGCATTGGTCCTGCCAAAAAATGAGGAACACACAAACACACACACACACACACACACACACACACACACACACACACACACACACACACACACATATATATATATATATATATATATATATATATATATATATAACTATAACTATCAACCTAAATGTCGGCGTACCCTGACGATCTACGTAGGTGAAACCTAGGTAGGTTTGCCTGGCTCTTTCGGTTCATAGTTAGATTTGCTCTACTTAGTGTATTGAACACTTTGCTTAGTTATTTTTGTTTTACTCGTGCTGGAAGGTTTTTTTTTCCTTTGTACTCTGAGGTTGGATTCTAGACGAACGATTGTTTTCGCCTCAATTACATGTTCTTAGTGCTTTTTTTATCCCTTATTTTTCCTTGGGTATTGGTTTGTTCATTTCCAAGCGAAACACCTAAAGTTTTTCCAGACGAGTATAATTATATATATATATATATATATATATATATATATATATATATATATATCTTTATCGTTTGAGTTACGGCGAATGGGTACAGTGAGGGCAATTGAAAGAGGTTATGATTGGGCACACAGAAATTGTCGGAGACTAATTTCCGGTGAACATCTAACCAGCCTCTCTGTCCAGATCAAGCATCGGACCGGTTAAATAACATTTGGACACCTACGTAACTTCACGTGGCTACGCCTTCATTCCGTATGTCACCTATACAAATCTTCCTGTAGCCACGCCTCTTCCGGCATGCTCCCACGCAGGCACGCTTTTCCTTTTGCTCAGAACACCTGTGCACTCTGTCTATTCAAGGTTCAGGACTCATTTACGCCCTGCTTATTTCAGCCACCTGATGCATTTCTTGTTGATTTTATCACCAGTTCCGATTTCCACTCAGACACTGATTCTAGCGGAAGTAAGGCCATCGGTCTTTCTTCAACCGGTATCCAACATGCTTTGTGCGTCTCTTGTGACTCAATCTCACCCCAGAATTTAAGTGGAATGACTATTCCTACCAGGCTTTATCTGGGAAAGGGTCAGATTTTTCTGCCATATATGAGCTTGAGTATTTTAACTCTCACAATCTAGCGTGGATAATACAGAATTATTTATACAGGCTTGAAGTTGAAGACAAATTTTCCAAACTAAAATCGTATTCTCACAGACGAAAGCTCGCTTTTTTTTTTTTCAAGAAAGTTTTTCAAACAGTCTACATTCCTTTGTTTTACTAGTTCAGACCTTTACGCCAAGCCACTTCCTCGGAGTTTACTCCTCCCCATTTCTCCAGAGAGTGTCCTTTCTTGAATTCTACATCCACAACCTCTTCAGGTGTTACTTCAACATTTATCTATGTTAGATATCCACAAGTACAATTTACCCCCCCCCGTGTAGTCACTAAGAGCGATCTCCTTCAATGAAGATCAAACTTCTGCTGCACGGGGTCCTTGTGTTGAGTGAACAAAAGCTTTGTAAAAGCAGGTGGATCGATTGATTTTCTACGGCTTATCAACACATTGCAGGTTATTTAAAGGCAGAAAATGATTTTTTTTTTAGATTGTAAGAATTTTTGGAGGGGGGAATAATAACGATTTAGGGATATAAGTCTTACTAATTAACCCATAGCTGGGGGGAAGGTGGGCTTATACATTTACCAAGGATATTTCCGCGTGAGTGAATAAAATGAAACCATTGAAAATTAGAACTCAGCTTTTCTGATTTCTAATTTTCGAGTTATTATCTCCAATACAACACAGCTACATCTAAGTTTACAGTCACCCATATAGATATTAACCAGCATAGACATTGCTTAACTTCGGTGATCGTATGGAAAACGGTGTTTCAATGTGATATGGCCGCAAGCAGGATGGCAATTGATCCGACGATGTGGTTCCATTAAAAATACTAAAGGTTGTCATGCGCAGTAGCAACAAGGACGGGTTATGGAAAAATGTCTTATAGGAAGATATTTAAGTGGAAAGTTCAAAATTGAAGACAATTCACTGACAAATTTGAAGACGAAGAAGAATTATTATGCAGTGATATGAAAATAATGTATGGATTATAAACGTCTTCTATAAAATCTATGTTAAATAAAAAAAATTTCCAACAGCTAAATATTTCTTTTTTTTTTAAATCATGCCGAGAACACAGATATCGAGAAAAGACTTCATGACATCAGTTTCCCGGTCGTGAAAAAAATAATTCGTTTTATCCAACCGATTTTTTGGTAACTATAGCTGTCCCCTCATTTTCTTGAAGTCAATTTTCTCTTGTAAGCATCTTAAAGGGTCCAAAGTATATTCTATAGTGATTTTCCAAGCATAGCTTAGATGTGGCACAAGGCCGAAAGTATGGGTCACCCAGTGAGGATCGAACTCACTACTCAGTTGTAATTGTTCTAGCGAGACAATGCAGTGATATGCAAATAATATATAGATTATAAACTTCTTTTATAAAATCTATGTTAAATAAAAAAAAATTCCAACAGCTAGATATTTATTTATTTTTTTAAAATCACGCCAAGAACACAGATATCGAGAAAAGACTTCTTGGCATCTGTTTCCCGGTCGTGAAAAAAAGTAATTCGTTTCATCCAACAATTTTTGGTAACTATAGCGGTTTTCCAAGCGGTTTTCCAAGGCCGAAAGTAGCTCAGTGAGGATCAATTGTTCTCAGTTGTAAGATAATCTTGCTAACTATTACACCGCCCAGATTATATTGTATATGGTAGTGACAGTTACTAGAATAAATTTAGAGAATCGTCGAAAATTGTCACAGGTACATCCAGAACACTGGACACCTACGTAAATTCACGGGGCTACGCCTTCATTCCCAAATAGTGTTTATCAGATTATTTTAAGTGTGTGTGTGAAAAAATATGAGGAAAAAAACAAAATATCTTTTTAAAAATGTAAGCCTCGCTAAGGAGTTAACAAGTGGAAATGTCAAAATTAAAGAAAATTCGGTGACAGGTAGGAGGAGGAGGAGAAGGAGGAGGAGGAGATGGAGGGGGAGGCGGAGGATAAGGAAGAGAAGAAGAAGAAGAAGAAGAAGAAGAAGAAGAAGAAGTACTGATGGAAAGTAAAAATGTAATTGAAAACTGAAAGTCTGTGAAGTGTAGAGAAGAGATATAGAAAGTGTCAGGATTTCAGAAATGAAGAAGAAAAGTTGAAGAAAGAAAGGAGAGAAAACAGAAAAGTAATGACTAAAAACACCAGATAAATACATATAAAATAAAGGAGATAGATAGATAGATAGATAGATAGATAAGCAGGCAGGCTTTGTCTTTTTTTCAGATTATTTGAATCAACTGGGACAGCGGAAACAATAATAATTTTATCAATAGATATGCAAATACTGAGATAGATAGATAGATAGATAGATAGATAGATAGATAGATATGAACAGGCTGAGATATATAGATAGATATGAACAGACTGAGATAGATAGATAGATAGATAGATAATGGGGAGCCTGAGATAGATACGAATAGCCTGAGATAGACATGAATATGAGATAGAGATTAGATAGATAGATAGATAGATAGATATGACTAGACTGACATAGATAGATAGATAGATAGATAGATAGATAGATAGATAGATAGATAGATAGATAACCTAAGATGGACACATATAAGTTCATGGATATGCTTTTACAATATGACAATGCCTGAGACAGGCAGGTAATCAAGAGGGCTTAGCAGATAGATAGATAGATAGATAGATAGATAGATAGATAGATGAATATGAACAGACTGAGATATATAAACAGACTGAGCTAGATAGATAGATAGAGAGATATGAACAGGCTGAGATATATAGATAGATATGAACAGACTTAGATAGATAGATAGATAGATAGATAGATAGATAGATAGATAGATATGAATAGACTGAGATAGATAGATATGAACAGCAGAGATAGAGATAGATAGATAGATAGAGATAGATAGATATGAACAGACTGAGATAGATAGATGAATATGAACAGATGAGATAGATAGATAGATAGATATGAACAGATGAGATAGATAGATAGATAGATAGATAGATATGAACAGACTAAGATAGATAGATAGATAGATAGATAGATAGATAGATAGATAAGGAGTGGGATATGAACTGATAGATAGATAGATAGATAGATAGATAGATAGATAGATAGATAGATAGATATGAACAGACTAAGATAGATAGATAGATAGATAGATAGATAGATAAGGAGTGGGATATGAACTGATAGATAGAGAGATAGATAGGAAGGAAAGAAAATCGGAAGTCGAAAGAAAAAGCGATAGAAAAGATAATTCCGTAGAAGAATTATCCTCAAAATATAAATTACCATTTCCTCTTAAAAAAATATCGATGAAATATAAATCTTTCTTTTCTCTTTTACCCTTATTAGTGAGAGAAATTTAGTTAAAGCCTTCCCGGGCGGCAAGAGGACATAGAATTTAAGGGAGGCAATCAGGGAAGACAAGAAATGTAAAAGGAGGTAATAGGTGTGAGGAAAAATTCTGACAGAGAAGTGAGGTGAATTTGGGTGGTGAGGACTGCGCACAATTTGGGTGGGAGAGACAGAGAATGGTCTGGCAGCAAAGGGTGACAGAGATAAATGGGTCCTGCAGCTGACGGTGTTAGAGAGAGCTGACCCATGACAGAGGAGGCGAACACAGAAGAAGGGAGGATCACTCTATTTTAGGAAAACCAAAAACATTTGTCTATCTTTCTTAGTCAAGCCGAATCTTTACACTTCTTAGCATTGCTTGCTTCATTTTACATCTGTCCGACATATATCTAACACACTGTCCCTTTCACCATGTATAACTCTCTCTCTCTTTCTCTCTTCCTTCTCTCTCTCTCTCTCTCTCTCTCTATATATATATATATATATATATATATAGTTGTAAATTTAAGCAGCAATCCTTCGTTTATGCATGTTTCATTAAAAACGACAGACAAGGTACTACGGTTAAGCTTTTTATTTAATGTTTCGTGTATTCGAACAAGAGCTTTCTTTTCGGGACAAAGAGTGTGTAAAAACTGTCCAAATGTTTTACATCTCCGAGCACTTTCGGCTATACCTTTATCCATTATCAAGGATGATTCGATTTTTCAGTTTAATTGAGTTTGTGCATTATGTGTATGTTTAATGTGTTGTAGAGATGTTTTTAATTTTTGAATACGGTTAGCACATTGTGGCCTTGTTCGTAGTTAATATTGTTAAGAGTTGTTTTTTTTTTTCTTTTTTATTATTAAAGCTAACATTATCTTTATTCTTTTTTTGCAGGTGGATGCAGTTAATATATTTGTGTTTTCTACTAGTATGTTCCTAATGGAATCTGGTAAATTTGTGTCTGTGTTTAAATGGGTTCTAATGGAGCTGTGATTAGATCGGTGTAACGTAAGACGTCTGGATAAGCATGTAGTTGGGTGACCGATGTAATTATTTATGAGTCAGGTCTGATCAGGAACACAGTTCTTAAGGGCATTTGAACTCATAGATAACGTTCGTTCTTTGTAATTTTGAATTAGTTGGTGTGTTCTTACTTTTTGAGGATAAGGTTGGCTGTCTTAAATTTTTTATAATAGATAATTAATTTGATTTTTTTTTATTCGGTTCAATTGGGGTAGTGTTTTTCTTTATAAGATGTCTTAGTGAAAATTCATCATGTTTGTAGTTAAAAAGCTTAACTGAAGTACCTTGTATGTCGTTTGTAATGAAACACACACACACACACACACACACACACACACACACACACACACACACACACACACACATATATATATATATATATATATATATATATATATATATATATATACGTTTACCTTAATGGCACCACGAGTGAACGGAGCTAAAACCTCGTGTCTCCGTTCTTAAACTTAACATAGGTATCACATTCTAAGGAAATATATTTACAAAAGATTACAACTATCAATTACATTAAGTTTCTGTCTTAGGAATTTATCCCTGAAGATGACATCGGATGAGATTGAAAGCACTTGGGAAAATTAAAGAAATGAAAAAACAAAAAACAAAAAAAAAAAAAACAAACTAATATATTTTTTCTTAATGAATTAAATATCAACATGAAGATCTCGTTGAGAGAATTAGAGAGGATTAAAATGAAACTAAACATAATATATATGTCCAGATTATTCAAGCAAACATGCTTATACACACACACACACACACACGTATATATATATATATATATATATGTATATCTATATATATATATTGTGTATATTTAGGCAGCAATTTTTCATTAATGCATGTTTCATTAAATAATATAGACAAGTTTTGTGTATTTATTTTAAATATTTATTTTAAGTAAGTTCCTTTCATATTGTCTGATAAGCTTAATAACATTATCATTGAAAGACGAAAGGTAATCACCGTATTGATACATGCTTAAATTCAATCTAAGCTTTAAACTTATATAGGCCATTATCAGAAATGACAATTACTTTTCAATATATCAACCAATACACGGACGAAACAATAATGATAATCTATTTTTGCTGCATGAAAAATTTCAATACAACGACTAACTCGTGTGGACGAGACGCGGAAGCAAAAATCGCGTTGCAGCTTGTGACGTCACACGTGACCACGCGAGAGTGAATACGAGAAGTATTAAGTATGGGAATCCGATGGTATAAAACAATGGCTTCTGTTATCATTTATAGGAATTTAACAATATTTGTGGAGATTTCATAATTTATTTTCTTAAGGTTAGGTTTCAACAGTTTTATGTATATAGCTTCAAGAATTTTTAGTTTTTGTTTATTGTTATCATGTTTATGTACAGTTGTGTTTTCAACAAGCATTTTCCAAATAATCCCAAGCATATTAATGTCTTATATCATATTCTAATGCATACTAATTATAAACAATATGAAAATATACTCCAAAATTAGTAAATACTAATATAGCCACAGCAGATCCTAGCCAAAAATGAGGTTAATCATATACTACACTAAATCTAATATATCCAACTTAATTATTCGCAATGATTCTTCCACCCTTCCCGTTAGCGAGTAACAAAAAAACAACGTAGTTTACAAATTCAAGTGCCCTTTGGGAGATTGTATCTTCAATGGATTAAATAATATTTATATTCGTCACACCACAAACTCGCTTTCATGACGCTTGAGTCTACATTTGAATGATAACTCTAACATTTTTAGGCATTTAAAACAACATGTCTGGCCGCGAACACAATTCCGGAATAATTGATAACAGAAGGCATTGGTTTATATCAACGGCTTCCTATACTTAATACTTCTCTTTATCACGCTCGCGTGGTCATGTGTGGCGTCACGAGCTGCGATGTGATATTCGTTTCCGCGTCTCGTATACACGAGTTAGTCGTTGCTTTGAAATTTTTCATGCAACAAAACAGACTATGATCATTTTTTCGTCCGTGTATTGGTTGATATATTGAAAAGTAAATGTCATCTTTCATAATGACTTATGTAAGCTGAAAGCTTAAATTAGATTTAAACATGTATCAATATGGCAATTTCCTTTCGTCCTTCAATGATAAATAATGTTATTAAGCTTATCTGACAACAATATGAAAGGAACTTACTTAAAATAAATAGACAAAACTTGTCTATATTCTTTAATGAAACATGCATTAATATATATATATATATATATATATATATTATAAATTAACTGACTTAAAATATGTTTTTTCGCTACACAGTTCTAACCATGTTTCAAAAATTATATTACATTGAGCACTATTATGTAGAAATAAAAATATCTATAAGAACACCGGATTATATATCTTACTGTTCTTTATTTTTATTTATATATACATATATGTTTGTGTGTGTGCATGTGTGTGTGTAATGAAATGGACAAAGTCTGACAATTCTTTTAAGACATTTTTATGTTTATACATTCTTTTTATAGATACAAATATTTAAGTAAATGCTCTGTTTATAATAAAAAATGTTAATAACATATCCCGGCCTGAATGTCCTTGAAATTTTTCACAGAAAATATTCGTACCCCGACAGGAATCGAAGGTGTATCCTATACGGAACTGTTATATAGAATGACGTGTTTTAATTGATTGGTAGAGAGGATGGTTCGATTAGCACGGTCGATTTTA